CATTTGTTTACAAGGTTTTTCTTTTTACTCACTTGGAAGATTTATGCAGTTGTCCCGTACCTGGAGGTCCTGTAGGAGTGGAAAATGATTTTGGCCTAATCTGTCTTTTGGTCTCCACGACAACGCAACATACTTTCATACCGGGCGATCTGGCAGTTGTTGAATAGGACAGTGACATCTGTAACTGGACTATCAATTCCTACCTTGTGAAATCAGTGCTGTTTCACAGAAATTGAATCATAGGTCCACAAAAACTTGAGTTAAAATCAGGAAAAGCTTTCACTAATGATACTTTAGGGAGCTAATAGAGAGAGTTAATTTCCCTGATGAGCAAAACTGCAGAACCGACAAATGTAAAAGTGTTGAACAAGGATTCCTTCTTTGTGGAAATACTAATCCGCCTGAATTTGGAATGGACAAATGAGGTAGATAAATGGGGAGAGGGGTGAGTCAGATTTGTACAGAACAGAAGAAGCATTTTGGCTCATTGAGTCTGCGCCGACCTATCAATGCTCATCCTACTTGGCAGCAATTGGTCCATAGCTTTGACTGTTATGACATTTCAATTGCTCATTGATGTACTCTTTGAAGGTTGTGACGTTTCCCACCTCTATTACCCTCCAAGGCAGTGTATTCCAGATTCCCATCACCTCTCTGCAAAACATTTTTCCTCGAATCCCCTCTAAGCCTCATGGCCTACACCTTAAAATTTTGCTCCCTCGTAATTGACTCTTCACTAAGGGGAACAGTTGCTTTCTATCCATCCTGTCCTTGCCCCTCATAATCTTGTATGCTTCTATCAGGTGTTCGCTTAGCCTTTTTCTAAAAGATCATATGATATAGGAGCAGAATTAAGCTGTTTGGCCACAGAGTTTGTTCCAGTACTCGATCATGGCTGATATGTTCCTCAACCCCATTCTCCTGCCTTCTCCCTGTAACCCTTCATCCCCTTACTTATCAAAAACCAGTTACTTGGCCTCCATGGCCCTGTGCAGCAATGAGTTTCATAGATAAACCACTCTCTGGCTGAAGAAATTCATCCTCTTTTCAGTTCTAAGGAGTTGTCATTTCACTTCTGAAGCTCTGCTTTCGAGTCCTACCTCCTAATTTTATTTTTATTCATTTTGTGGGATGTTGGCATTGCTGGCTGGGCCAGCATTTGTTGTCCATCCCTCATTGCCCTTGAGAAGGTGGTGAGCTGCCTTCTTAAACTGCTGCAATCCACCTGCTGTGGGTTGACCCACAATGCCATTAGGGAGGGAATTCCAAGTTTTTGACCCAGCGGCAGTGAAGGAACGGCGATATATCTCCAAATCAGGATGGTGAGTGGCTTGGAAGGGAACTTGGAGGTGGTGGTGTTCCCATGTATCTGCTGCCCTTGTCCTTCTGGTTGTGGGTTTGGAAGGTGCTGTATGAGGATCTTTGGTGAATTTCTGCATGCATCTCGTAGATATTTATACTGCTGCTACTGAGTGTCGGTGGTGGAGGGAGTGGATGCTTGTAGTTGTAATGCCGATCAAGCGGGCTGCTTTGTCTTGAATGGTGTGAAGCTTCTTGAGTGTTGTTGGTGCTGCACTCATCCAGGCAAGTGGAGAGTATTCTATCACACCTCTGACTAGTGGCTTGCACATGGTGGATACCAGTCTTCTCCACATCCACTCTATCCAGGTCTCTCAGTATTCTGTAAGTTTCAATCAGATCTCCCACATCCTTCTAAACTCCAAGTACAGATCCAGAGTCCGCAACTGCTCCTCGTATGACAAGCCCTTTATCACCAGCATCATTCTTGTAAACATCCTTCGGATCCCCTCCAATGCCAGCACATCCTTCTTTAGATATGGAACCCAAAACTTCTCAGAATATTCCAAATGCAGTCTGATTAGACCCTTATACAGCCTCAGCAGTACGTGTCTGCTGTTGTATTCTAGCCCTCTTGAAACAAATGCTAACATTATATTTGCCTTCCTAATTGAACCTGCACGTTAACCTTAAGAGAATTCTGAACTAAGACTTCCAGGTCCCTTTGTGCTTTAGATTTCTTAAGCCTTTTCCCATTTAAAGTCTATGCCTCTATTCTTCCTACCAAAGTGCACACTTTCCCATGTATCCCATCTGTCACTTCTTTACACACTTTCCTAGCCTATCTAAGTCGTTCTGCAGCCTCCCCGTTTCCTCAACACCACCGGCCCCTCCACCTATCTGTGTCATTTGCAAACTTAGCAATAATAATACTTTTTCTAGATTGTTAATGTATAACGTAAATAGTTGTGGTCCCAGCAGAATTCCACTAATCACCAGCTGCCATCCTGAAAAAGATTTTTTTTATCAGTCAGCCAATCCTCTATCCACACCAGTACCTTGCCTAGGATAACAGTGTAGAGCTGGATGAACACAGCAGGCCAGGCAGCATCAGAGGAGCAGAAAAGCTGACGTTTCGGGTTGAGACCCTTCTTCAGAAATAGATTTCTGAAGAAGGGTCCCGACCCAAAATGTCAGCTTTCCTGCTCCCCTAATGCTGCCTGGCCTGCTGTGTTCCTCCAGCTCCACACTGTGTTATCTCAGACTCCAGCATTGGCAGTTCTTACTATCTCTGAGTACCTTACCCGGAACACATGGGCTCTTATCTTATTTAGCTGCCTCAACCGCGGCACCTTGAGAAGAGCCTTGTTGAAATCCAAATAGATCATGCCCACTGGCTCTCCTTTGTCTAACTTGCTTGTTAGCTCCTTAAAGAATTCTATCAGATTTGACAAGTAAATGAAATTTTTCTGCATATTGAAGACCATCCAAGCCTATACACCCAGCCTCTCTTCACAGCTAAGATGCTCCAATCCAGGCAACATCCTGGTAAATTGCCTCTGCATCCCTTCCAATGTAATCACGTTCTTCAATAGTACGGTGAGCACAGTATGGTGAGTGACTTGGAGGGGAACTTGCAGGTGGTGGTGTTCTCATGCATCTGCTGCCTTTGTCCTTCTAGATGGAAGTGGTCAAGAGTTCTGAATGTGCTGTCAGAAGAGTCTTGATGAATGTTGCCGTGCATGCAGTAGATGGTACTCTATTGCTGTGCATTGGTCATAGAGGAGTAAATGCTGAAGGTGGTAGCTGCATTGCTGATCAAGTAGACTGTTTTACCCTGGATGGTATTCAGCTTGAGTGCATAAGTACTTAATAAAGAAAAATTTACAGGATGACAAGGAACCAAAGAAGGAATGAAATTAATTGGCCAGTGCTATGAATTGAATTGTCTCATTCTATGCTGTATGATTCAATGATAGGACTGTGTAAAGTACTCATTCCTCTTCTTTGACCCACTATTAACTGAATCTGTTGCTAACACTTTCATTTCTTCTCTTTGTTCCCAGTTTGCCTTTGGTGCAGCTCTGCTTAATACTCAGATCCCACTGTTGCTGGGAGAGCTGATGAATGGTCTTGTCCAGTGCCTGCAGACAAACCCAGCCTGTTACTTCAGGGCCATGAAGGTGCCGGGTATAAAATTAATGATTACCTACACTCTGCAGGTAAGATTCGGCCAGATGCCATGGGGTTTATGCTTTGAGTTTACAACTCCTGAATGCATGTGTTTGCTTGAAGTACCTACCCTAGGAACAGTTATATAGGGTTTAATAGAGTCATACAAAGAGCCCCATTGAATCATTGCAACTG